GGGTTCCAGGGTTCCGGGGTTCCAGGGTTCCAGGGTTCCGGGGTTCCAAGGTTTCAGGGTTCCAGGGTTCCAGGGTTCCATTCCGGATTTTGAAGGCTGCAAGTCCCCGCGAGCCAGCCCCAGCCCTAGAGATTGAAACCCAACAGGCCCTGCTGTTGGGAATTTGGGATTCTAGATGATTCCATGAATGGGAAAATTATGGAATATTGATGATTGATTGATGGATGTTTTTTCGTGTGACTGAAACACAAAACATACTCTTTCAATGTCTTTCTGCTTTGGACCCCCCTCGATCATCTTGGAAATTTCAACGTTAACAATTTCAAACCAAGTCGTGCCTCCTTCAAATGCAAGCGAATCTGCTCCGGCGTGGAAGAGAACTGTGTCTGCACGGGAGTGGGGAAGGAGCCAGTGGCATTGGCTCGAAATTTGCCGATGTCACCCACCAAGCAAGCAGGTAGGCCGCCAGACCATTTACTGCAAATTCCATCAATTCCATAGTAGAGTAGAAAAAATGAGATGCAACATAACATAAGTGATGCGAATGTCATCTTCGTCCTGTCTGTTGCTCAACTCCTGGCCTGGACTGAGTGAAGTCGAAGTTCATTCAAAGGAACCAAGATCGGCCTGGTGCAAAAGGGTCATCTTGGACTGAGACTTGCATGGTTCTCTCAATGAACTGGGCAAGAAAAAATCAGAAAAACCCTGGCAAATTGTCCTAGGCTCTAGTCCACAACTCAAACTATGCTAATATATGTCTCGAGTGCACTGAAAAATCATCCTCTGTATTTCTCTCTCATTTGTTGGTTCACAACCTTCTTTCCACATGTATTCACCCGAAATGACAACGAAGACAAACCCTACAAAACCAGGCATCCCGGACGTCTTGGGACAAAGACGTCGTCGAAGATCAAAGAATTGTGCTATGGCACCTCAGCAACCAGCAGTTCAAAGTAGACAATCATCGTCCTGAAATAAACAATAGTTGCTATAGCTCACTAAACCAGCACATCATAGCAATTCTATTTGCACAATGGTTGCTATTCAAAACGATACACATCTAAGACCCAATTCCTTGTACACTACACGCGCGGCCCTGGTCACTATAGTTTAAACATGTTCAGACTTGCCCTAGGCTGCGCGGGCCTCGGACAATCCTGGGTTTCTCACGTTCTAAGTCTTCCAGTTTCCAACTTCGCGCTTGTTGAACCTCCAGCGGGATACGGTGTGAGGTACAAATCCCGCCATGGTCAGCTGATGCCTCCGTGAAGAGCAAAAGGAACACATAGCTTTCCGCTTGCCGGCTGTCACAATTTGTGCAATCCGATTGGTGTATTCTATATAAAACTCATCAAAATATCCAATCAACTTACACGTGCATCAATATAGATTAAAGTGACCAGCTCTGGTTTTCCCATGGTCGCTGCCTCTGACTTCGTCGCTTTCATCACCGGCTCATCTGCTGTCCTGGCACGTCCACTTTGTGTACAGTCACCATGATGAATCATGGATAACTTTCTTCGAGTGATCCCCACAAACTGACAATCTATTTGAATCTATCTGACATAAATTCTGACAAACATGCGGACATTTATCTGACATAAATTTCAACACTTTATCTAACAGTCTATCTGGCATTCTACCTGACTTTTTGCCTAGTATTCTATTTGGCATTCTGGCATTCCATCTGGCATTCCATCTGGCATTCCATCTGGCATTCCATCTGGCATTTCATCTGACATAAATTCTGACATTTCACCTAACATTCCATTGGCATTCTATCTGGAATTTCATCTGGCATTCTGTCTGACAGTTTGTCTTGCATACGCGTCTGACGGGGGCAAAGCATCTGGGGAGCTTGCCATTCTGTTCAGGTCCGGGGCCTTGAGGTCTTGGCGACTTGGCGAGAGCAGGAAGAGCGGGAAATTGACAAATCTATATAGAGACCCTCGCCTGGCAGGGAAATAAACATTAGTAGTCAATTGGAATCAGTATCGCAAGCAGAATCCAAACAATCCAAACTAATGTATATATTGTATATCTATATTGAAACCACTAACAAAATAAAGGGATTTCCGCCTTACTCCTCGCATGTCTAGTTTGGCTGCTCTGTGGTTCAACATCGGTGGAATGTTGGACCCACAGCATTCAGTGAAGCGTTGCCGGCAGAACGGCCACAGCCAGGCATCAGGTTCTGAAGCAACCAGATCTCGACTCTTTCGGCCTCTGATAGCTGCTGGCCACATAGGCAAAGAGCGTCCATGGTGCAAGCGTTTCCATTGGGAAATGATACTGCAATATATTCGGTGTATATATACATTGTCTAAACTTTGTTTAGACGCAAGCTCATGTCTGAACTTTGTCTTGACAGGGGATCCCATGTATATACGTTTGCCTATCCACCCCTGCCCACTGCGGTTTTGGCCTCTTCTGCTCAGGAGTCAGGTCAGCAAGGGATGATGTCGGCAAGGTTCAAGCGTTAGAACACCAACACATACCATCACTTCATTTTCTTCCCAAATCTGGGTGGCAAATTATGAAACTTAGAACATCTTTTAAAGCAAGTAGGATCATCAGTGAAGCCATGGCCCACGAGTGTTCTCATGAAGAGGGCCCTATTATTACAAGGTCAGATGCTTAGTCTTCAAGGATTCAGAAGCGTTCAGGTTTCATCTTGTTTGATTACAATCAACCCTTATCAACCCAACTGCTTCTTTAGGCCACTACGAGACACAGGATGGTCATCTCAGTGATGATGAATCGGACTTGGGTGCTACCAGCCCGGCAATGCACCAGCACTGATAAGATGAGTTTGTTCATGCGTGTTTGGGATGATCTAAAAAATCTTGAAACCTCTGACTTAGTAGCCATTTTTGGTTCTTCAGTTCTGAATGGCCTTAGCCCACAATGAGTGGGCGTAGTAGGGTCCGCCTAGATCCAGGGCGCATGGCCCTGCCGAAGGATTGGGAAAAGATATATTATTGGATGCAACCACATGTATGTATATATGCACGGAAGAGTTTCTGATGGTGCAGAAAAGCCAAGGAAAGTTCAAACCAACTTTCCGTTGTAGTTTGCAAACTATTATAGCGGCCTATGCCCCAAATTCAAGAGAACGGTGCTGGGACTGCACCCGGCCTATGCTTGGGATAAATTGCACCAGCAAAACTTTAAATATATTTGGGTATATTGCTAATTCCCAGAAAATGTCAAAAATAAGCATCTCATTCCCCATCATATCCAAAATTTATGGTTGGGTGGGAGCCCGTGCTTTTTCAAGTCCTGTGGGTCTTTAAAATTCTGACCCACTTGCAGTTGCACTATGACCAGACAGTGTCACATGCGTGGTCAGACCGTGGTCAGACCGTGGAATGTCTAAACTTTTGCGTGGAATGTCCGTACTTTAGCGTGGAATGTCTAAACTTTTGCGTGGTCCCACTACCCCCAAAAATCAATCAATTTTGGATAATTTTGGTATATTTTTGCACTTGTTCAATTTGCATTCATGCCAACAAGGGCGTACCCGTAATTGCTACAGCGGGTCATGTTGGGCAATTGTTTGAACCAATATCGCATGGATCATGGCTGCATATCTATGCCGGATCTCAAACTTGCATTGGTTCAAGTGCCCTCCCACATGTCCACAGGATGATTTCCATGCATGCATGAACCAAGAACAAGACAAGTTCACCATGCTGCATTGCTTTCTTCAATTTCAGCAATCAACACTTCCACTCCAAGGTGTGAATGCGAGATTTGAACATACATTTTGTGATGAAGATTCTATGGGGTGGCTTCGCCGTCACTTGTTTCAACTTCTTCTGGTGTACATTAATAGAAACGACTTGTAGCACTGGTAGGCCCCTGTTCATGGTAGTGAATATAGCTGCATTCACTTCATGTTACACTGTTTGTGATTTTTGTTGATTCATGATAGCCTATTTAAGAAATCAGGCACAGTACTCCGCGCACATCCTCTTCACCAAAGATCTTGGGCCTTGAAAGTATCTAAACTACAATTGTGGAGCTTGAAATGGCGAATCGGAAAGTTTCTTGAACCAACATATGCACATATGTGTTCCAGCAATATCGTGCATGCATGTGTGCGTGGGAGATGGCATGGTTTTTGTGGTGAGTTCCTGTTTTACATTTTTTGGGGTTGCCTAGGCTCAACCATTCTGCCGCGCAAAGAATTTGAGCTCGCGAAGCTTCAAACAAAGAACCAGAGAAAAAATGGCGAATCATGCGCCAGAGAGTTGTTGGAAATCCTGGACAAAAACATGTTTGTAATTTCAGGACCTTTGTTCAAGTTGGGATATGTCCATGTGCACACGCTGTTGTTTTAACATGTTTCAGCTGGTAGGTATAGGTGGTGGGGCGTGACAGGGCGTGACACAGGGACATGTGCGAATGTATATACGTATACCTAATGTCTATAAAAAGAATAGACCTGGGACTACTTGGGTATATATACATATATACATTAATATATGTGTATTTGTAATGCAGAAAACAGTTGGAGGGAAGCAATTGCACTTGACCAATTTTTCCGAAACTAAAATCGAAGATCAATGCAAATTGTTCTGAGGCAGGAGCGCTTGGCAATTTGCTCCAACCAGAAGCGCACACCCGCCTCCCACAATAGTAAAAGTGTCCAAAAGATTCTAAAGGTATCCAAGGATGCTTCCAGTCTTATGTCACAGGAATCAACTGCATCTAAGAATCTAAGACAAATCATGAAGAAACCACTTTCTGTTGAAGCAAATGACGCCAAATGTGCCACAGCAAAATTGGGGACCCCCAAGGCCCCAAATTGGGGACTCCATTTCAGTGATTTTCAAAATCCAGCTTTGTGAATGGATCATCCAGAGTCCTGAACTTTCGACCATTCCATACCTGTCAACTTCAGCATTCAGCAACAGCGTCGCCTCCTCATCTGGCGTTTCGTAACCAATATGAAGTCGGAACTCCTCATGGCAAGTCATGACATACCGCGTGTGCCGAACGCCATGCCGCCATGCCGAACGCCCATCTGATGTCACGCCTTGATAAGCCATTTCAATGCTGGGAACCAATGTCCCAGCTCGAGCTGAAACTGTTGCCAATGCTCCTTCCAGCACAAAGAGCACTGAAGTTGCTGTGAAAACCCGCTGTGAATCAAATATGGAAAACCATCCTTGGAATTCTTGGGTCAGAATGCAGACATACAAGGAGATATACCACTTGAATTTTTTTGAAAAAAATAAATTCATCGCATTTCATATCTTGGCAGGGTAGGAATGTTGATTAGCAACGAACACATCCCAGAACATTGTAGAATTTAATATTCAGGTCTCCTTTGCGGATGCCTGAAGAACATTTCAAAGGATTCTGAAGGGTCACAGAAAATTCATTGAGACATTTACAGTTATCTTTTCAACATCTTTTAAATCTGGTAACCCTATAATCAAAAAATCCCTTCTGAGGATGGTCGAAAAATACCACCCATAAAGATGGAACTGCAGGCGCTCCCCGTCGCGCGGCCGCTGAAGGGAAATCGTTGCTGCCTGCCGGAGGCAGTTTGCCGCAAAACCAGTTCGAACATCGTCCATTTCTTTCGATGATTGTTCAACTTAAATTGCCCAGTTATGGATATTTATGATGGATTTCCCCGCCAACCATGTTTGATCACCGGAAAGTAAGACTTGCAAAACTGGCCAAGTGCCAATGTCTCATGAGGGTTTTTCGTCCGTTCTCAGCTTGAAACAAATCAATTAATTACTTGCCTCAATCAAAATGGACCCGAAACAAACATACATCAGCTTCTTGGGGATCTCCAAAATCTGCCAACAATGCTCCACTACCTAAAGATAGGAAACCAATGGGCCTTTCAATTTGCCGGCACCCCCATGGCCTTCCCCGTGTCGGGTCGCAAAGTTTCTGTAGGTTCCCAAACTTTTGCCATACCTGGACATCTTCAAGCGTCATCCAACACCAATCCCAGAAAAATCGCTCGTTTTTGCGTAGATCTTGGATATAGAATGGGGCTATTACGGCGGCGCATTTTTTTTTCTTCGACGCGAAGTGTATGCAGAGAAGTCAAAGCAAAGCCTTCACATCTTCAGCTACACCATTCATTTCTGAACTTGGCATGGCCTCTTGTGAGAACAAATCCAGAGAGTCAGGGACCGACTGAGATGACTAAGTTCCATAGTGCAATGCCACTATAGACTCCAATTTTTGAAGTCCATGGCCTGTCAAGGTTTAACACTGCTCGCTTTGAATCCTCACCCACACAGTTAGTTTGCAAGACTTTGCATCCGATCTGTTGCAGGTTAATAATAGTGTCTATAGTTCAAAAATGGGTAAGTAACAATGAAACCATCATTCAGCACAATGAAACCTGCAAGTACCAGAAAACTACTAGTTCCCTGAATGTTGGGTTGAACATGACAAAGCCCGAATAGAATCAAATCTTTGTACAGCTGTCTTAGCTGCTCCCTGCCTACATGACGAAGTTCCTGGCGCATGACCTTGTTCTCATAGCGCATTCGTGCAAGCTGAACACTTTGAGCGGGTCCTTGTAGCTGCATACACCCCGAGACAAATTCTTCGAAGGATATTTCACCACTGCCGTCAGCATCCAAGATCCTTGGCTCAAAGTTCGCCCTCCAAAAAAAGAGGGGATTGGGACGGAAAATAAAGTGAAGATTGAAACTTGAAACGTCTATCTCCTGGCATCTTCGCACTTTCAATATCTTGAAGCATCTTTAGCTTTAAACATCTTTAAACAATTTCAAACCTCCACGTTCTGTTCTTACCATTCGAAGGACCTGCCGTAAACAGGCCGTGGATTCACAAAGGCATCAGAATTTGCATTGAGGAGTTGAAAGCGGCAAACGGGGGTGGCAATGCAAAGCGCGATGCCAACAAACGAGCAAAAACGTGCATGGACATGCTGCCTGAGACAAGAGATGTTGCATTCTTCACTTCAACGAAGTTGGCACACACACACACACACACAGCATCAATGCAGCTATGGCAAATACCACCATCCCAGCCCATTTTACTAGCTGGTTAGGCAATGCTCCTATCTTAGCATCATCCCATTCAACCAGAGAGTAACCAAATCACAAGAGGTATTTCTTGGGTTCAATGGTCTACCTGCACGAAGCTTCCCCTCATGGTTCCCACAAGATGCAGCCAGATAGCAGGAAGAGGGTCCAGATATCTTGCGTTGAGATAGCCATGGACTCCATGAAGCTGGAAAGCTTTTCTTGCGATAGTGCCACCTCGATTTCTCGATCTTTCACGCGTCAAAATTTAAACTTATGCATTTCCCGGCCCTTGAAATTACTCCATATTATTCCATGCAAATGTTCAATGCAGTAGCGAGTCACATGGATACTTTGCGTTTGCTCGCGCAAACAGGTCTTGGCTAGCTCCATAGCATTGAGTTCGATTTTTGAAACGGAATTGTGAATTCTCAGTCCTTGTGGGGATCTATGTCTTGTAGCCTTGTGCTGGAAAAACTGTTGTTCTACATGGTGCTTGAAGATTTTTGGAGCTAGAGCTGCTCAAATTCCATGGTATTTGCAATTTTCAACTTTCACTGGGGCGATGGAACCTCTCAGTCTGCATGGCCCTTGCAAGTTTCGGATGGAACCTTTCACTTCGCATGGTATTTGCCGGGTTTTGGACATGATAGTTTTGGACCTTCAACCTTTATTTCGCATGGCGCGCGCACATCTTGGACCTTGAGCCTTCCGTTTTTGCATGGTATATGCAGTATTGGGCGCCTTCGAATTTCATTTTGCACGGTACATGTAACATTGTGAGACTTCAGACTTTGCATGATCTTCGGGACATTGTGAAGCGTTTGCTTCCAAATTTTGGGTGGTAATGGTGATACGAGTGTGGGTGATAATTTACTCCACAGCCTATCGTCTTACCCCATCGCACGGCACACAGCTTAATCCACAATTGTTATTTTTAAATTACTGCCATATCATATGCCATATCCAAAAAAACACAGCACACCGACACCTATCCATGTGTCTGCATATTGTTTTCATGGAACTCCGTGCAACGTTTCGTATCGGTTTTGTCTGTCTTAAACTTGACCGACAGCGTTGTGAACCACATGGCAAACCAACAATTTGACCTCTAGAAGATCAGGCGTTCTGCGTGTGAAGAAAACAACCGCGGCACAAGTTGCCACCCTGAGCCTGTCTCTGAAGCACTGTGAAACCTTAACTTGTTGACCCGGTCATTTGCATCTAATTTGGTTTTTCTCGGCAGCGCCTGAATCGCACAAACAGTTTCATTCTTGTGTTTGTCCTTCTTGCTGGCTGCGGTCGTAGCATGTCGTAGCTGTTTCGTTTTTTTGCTTGGGATTGCTGCTCTTCTTGTTCTTGTTGCAGATGTAGTCGCAGCTGTGGTTGTACAGTAACAGTTTTCCTTCTCCTTTTTATCGTTGTTGTCGTTGATGTCATTGTTGCCGTGTTGCCGTGTTGGCGTCGTTGTTGCTGTTGTTGCTGTTGTTGCTGTTGTTGCTGTTGTTGCTGTTGTTGCTGCTGTTGCTGCTGTTGCTGTTGCTGTTGCAGTTGCAGTTGCAGTTGCTGTTGCTGTTGCTGTTGCTGTTGTTGGTGGTGGTGGTGGTGGCGTTGGCGTTGGCGTTGGCGGTTGTCGTCGTTGTCGTTGTCGTTGTCGTTGTCGTTGTCGTTGTCGTTGTCGTTGTGGTTGTTGTTGTTGGTGGTGGTGCTGGTGCTGTTGCTGTTGCTGTTGGTGTTGGTGTTGGTGTTGCTGTTGGTGTTGGTGTTGTTGTTGTTGTTGTTAGTGTTGTTGTTAGTGTTGTTGTTAGTGTTGTTGTTAGTGTTGTTGTTAGTGTTGTTGTTAGTGTTGTTGTTAGTGTTGTTGTTAGTGTTGTTGTTAGTGTTGTTGTTAGTGTTGTTGTTGTTAGTGTTGTTGTTGTTGTTGTTGTTAGTGTTGTTGTTAGTGTTGTTGTTAGTGTTGTTGTTAGTGTTGTTGTTAGTGTTGTTGTTAGTGTTGTTGTTAGTGTTGTTGTTGTTGTTGTTGTTGTTGTTGTTGGTGCTGTTGGTGCTGTTGGTGCTGTTGGTGCTGTTGGTGCTGTTGGTGCTGTTGGTGCTGTTGGTGCTGTTGGTGCTGTTGCTGCTGTTGCTGCTGTTGCTGCTGTTGCTGCTGTTGCTGCTGTTGGTGCTGTTGCTGCTGTTGCTGCTGTTGGTGCTGTTGGTGCTGTTGGTGCTGTTGGTGCTGTTGGTGCTGTTGGTGCTGTTGGTGCTGTTGGTGCTGTTGGTGCTGTTGGTGCTGTTGGTCCTGTTGGTGCTGTTGGTGCTGTTGGTGCTGTTGGTGCTGTTGGTGCTGTTGGTGCTGTTGGTGCTGTTGTTGTTGTTGTTGTTGTTGTTGTTGTTGTTGTTGTTGTTGTTGTTGTTGTTGTTGTTGTTGTTGTTGTTGTTGTTGTTGTTGGTGTTGTTGGTGCTGTTGGTGCTGTTGGTGCTGTTGGTGCTGTTGGTGCTGTTGGTGCTGTTGGTGCTGTTGGTGCTGTTGGTGCTGTTGGTGCTGTTGGTGCTGTTGGTCCTGTTGGTGCTGTTGGTGCTGTTGGTGCTGTTGGTGTTAGTGTTGTCGTTGTTGTTGTTGTTGTTGGTGTTGGTGTTGGTGTTGTTGCTGTTGCTGTTGCTGTTGCTGTTGTTGTGGTTGTGGTTGTTGGTTGTTGGCTGTTGTCGTCGTAGTCGTTGTAGTCGTTGCAGTCGTTGCAGTCGTTGCAGTCGTTGCAGTCGTCGTTGTTGTCGTTCCTTGTTTTTGTTTCTTGTTTTATTTGTTCCTTATCACTTGTCTCTTGTTTGTTGTTGTTTCTTGTGTTCTTCTTGTTTGGGATCATTGTTGCTGTCATTTTGCTGTCGTTGTTGTCATTGTTGTCGTCGTGGTTTGTTCTGGTGGTTTGTCTTGTTTTTGTTCTTAGTAGGGTGGTGGTGGTGGCGGTGGCGGTGGCAGTGTTGGTGGCAGTGTTGGTGGTGATGGCACTGGTGATGGCACTGGTGATGGCCCTGGTGCTGGCACTGGTGCTGGCACTGGTGCTGGCGGTGGCCGGGGCGGTGGCCAGGGCGGTGGCGGTGGCGGCGACGGCGGTGGTGCTGGTGCTGATGCTGATGCTGATGCTGATGCTGATGCTGATGCTGTTGTTGTTGTTGTTGCTGCTGCTGTTGTTGTTGTTGTTGCTGTTGCGGCTTTTGTTGGTTGTTGGTTGTTGGTTCTTGGCTGTTGGTTGTTGTCTGTTGTCGGCTGCCTGCCCAAAACTTCTTTGCCCATGCAGGCCGAAGAAATGCTCTTTCGCTGTATCAAACATGGTTACTTCGTTACCAGCGTAATGCAAACAAATGAAAAAGGCCCAGTTGAAATCAACAACTACCTGATAGTCGTGTTAAATGAATGACAAACTTGGCTGCGCTATGTCTGATTGCCCGGTTTGAGTGGATGCTTGTGGTGGGCTGTCCGACCTCCAGTTCACTGATGCTGACCTTGTTGGACTGATCATTGTCCTCAGTCAAACGCTGCATCGGTACTGCTTGCACGAAAAACCTTTGTTTAGCGTATAGATTGTTCAACACGTCTTCTATAACTGTGGATAGGAATGCTTGCCAAGCAACGATTTCGTTGAAAACACCTTTGAGAGCACGCAGTTGTCCCTTGTGCCATTCTATTTGCTTCATGATGGCAATGTCCTTCGCCAAAGTTTGCAGCATTGCAATTTGGAACAACGAGTTGGTGGAATGAACACGCAGCGCATGACAACATTGTGGCTGACAGACATCACAAAAGACACTGGACTGGATCTTGTGACCCATAGATTCAACACCAGCACACAATGCCACACGATTTGCAGTGACCCAGGCAAAACGCAAACATCATCAAATATCAGTAGCCCCTGGCCTCTATAGCACAAAGTCAAAGCAAAGGCTTACAAGAACAGAAGCACACATTTCAAAGTGACTGGGGTCATGGACACTTTGGCGAAACTCTACCTTCCACTTTGCAAACAAACCAGAAGAAGCAACCGCGCTATATGAATGTCGCCGCGATTGCCTGTCACACTTTCTGCTGCATGCCGGGGGCCCCCCTTACACAGCGTAAACGGTCCTTGTCAGCCTTGGAACTTTCGATTGCGTTGTTACAAAACCTGCTTTGATCTTTGGCCATTCGCTTCTCCCACAAAAGCAAAATCAAGAGCAACCATTGAAAAAAAACTTCGGGGAACATTAAATACACAAACTCAAAGATATGCTCTGAAGACCGAGTGTCACCCCCGTCACCACGTTCAGAATAGCGAAGATCGTGATAAATATATAAATGATAAAGCAAGAAAATGCCACGCTGGAGACTGTACCTTAGTTAGTTCTTCATGCGGCCAGCCTCAAGGCGCTCAAGGAGAGTTGCACCCAGATGTGAGAGCACCAACACATGGCTGGATGGTAAGTGTAGCAATGTATGCCGGAGGTATGAAATGAGATTTTGGGTGAGATCAACTTGGGTCGCATCCCGTTGCCCCGCAGCCGCCGCTTGGGCAATCAGCTCAGGCACGCAAGGGCTCCAAAGCTTCAGTCCAGCTGAGACCGCCAGAAATGGACAGGAACAGAGTCAGCATACTTTCCTTGGCCCATCTCCAAGGAAAGTAGATTCAACATATTATCACAATACCTCTTGTTGAACAGTTTCAGGAGCCTTGTTGAATTTTGCGTTGGCTCCAAAGTTCCTGGTCCAACTCTTTTGCCCGCTTTTAGGTTTCTGTGTCACGTGCGCAACGTTTCCCGAAATTTTCGCGTCGAGTCTTGTTTGCGTAGCCATTCGCGGAGGTTTAGCGGCACTCTCCCGACCCTTTCACGAATTGCACCTTCACGCTCACGGACGCTTGAGTCAGCTTGAGATGTATCACGCTTTACAAACTACTTATATACTGTAATTATTGCCATGGCAATGCTTTTGGAAGAAAATCATGAAAAATTATCTTTGTGGATTCGCAAGCTGCGTAAAATCTCTCATGCAATTTGATCATTCACAACCCAAAGACCTCGACGGTTGCTTTCGTCATCTGCTTGGCTCGCTGAATGTAACTAGACGACGGATGGCCCGAGAGCGTAGAGGAACAGGGTCTTCTCTTGTTAGTATGGAGACACCATGTTACAAAACAAAATATTTTTATTAAAGATGTGTTATAGGCAGACGAGAAGAGGAGTATCAAGACAATATAGCACAAGTACAAGACAATAGTTTGCATCGTATCTTTCAAATAGCTTTTCACACACAGAACTTTTACACACAGAGACTTTTACACACAGATCACACAGATGCTTTTAGACACAGACACTTTTACATACGGAAGCTTTTGCGCACAGACATTTTTACACATGGAAGCTTTTACACACAGACGCTTTTACACACAGAAGCTTTTACACACACACACACCCTTTTACACACAGACGCTTTTACACACAGACGCTTTTACACACAGAAGCTTTTACACACAGAGACTTTTACACGCAGACCCTTTTACACACAGGAGCTTTTACACACAGACTCCTTTACACACAGACGCTTTACACGCAGACGCTTTACACGCAGACACTTTTACACGCAAACACTTTTACATACAGACGCTTTTACACACAGAAGCTTTTACACACAGAGACTTTTACAGTTACACACAGAAGCTTTTACACGCAGACGCTTTTACACACAGAAGCTTTTACACACAGGAGCTTTTACACAGACGGTTTTACACGCAGACGCTTTTACACACAGAAGCTTTTACACACAGACGCTTTTACACACAGACGGTTTTACACACAAACGCTTTTACACACAGACGCTTTTACACACAGACGCTTTTACACACAGAAGCTTTTACACACAGAGACTTTTACACGCAGACCCTTTTACACACAGGAGCTTTTACACACAGGCTCCTTTACACACAGACGCTTTACACGCAGACGCTTTACACGTAGACACTTTTACACGCAAACACTTTTACATACAGACGCTTTTACACGCAGAAGCTTTTACACACAGAGACTTTTACACACAGAAGCTTTTACACGCAGACGCTTTTACACACAGAAGCTTTTACACACAGGAGCTTTTACACAGACGGTTTTACACGCAGACGCTTTTACACACAGAAGCTTTTACACACAGACGCTTTTACACACAGACGGTTTTACACACAAACGCTTTTACACACAAACACTTTTACGCACAGACGCTTTTACACAAAGAAGCTTTTACACACAGAAGCTTTTACACACTGCGCCGGACAACTTGGAAATCGCAATTTTACTTTACCTCAGTTTTTGGCGATCGAACCTCATTTCGTGCGAAAGGGTTGCGCTTGGACAAGAGGAATCGCAATTTTACCTCCGTTTTGGGCGATCGAACCTCATTTCGTGCAAAAGGGTTGCGCGGGACAACTTGAAATCGCAATTTTACCTCAGTTTTGGGCGATCGAACCTCATTTCATCCGAAAGGGTTGCGCGGGACGACTTGAAATCGCAATTTTACCTCGGTTTTTGGCGATCGAACCTCATTTCGTGCGAAAGGGTTGCGTTTCGTGCCGTTTCGTTGGCACCGCCCCGCGCCTTCAAGAGAGAAATAGAAAAGAAGGAGAGGGCAAGAGGGCAAGAGGGCAAGAGGGCAAAAGGGCAAAAGGGCAAGAGGGCAAGAGGGTAAGAGGAGAAGATGTGAGGATGAGAAGATGTGAAGATGAGAAGATGTGAAGATGAGAAGATGAGAAGATGAGAAGATGTGAAGATGAGAAGATGTGAAGATGAGCAGATGAGAAGATCTGAGCATGAGAAGATGTGAAGATGCGAAGAGGAGAAGATGTGAGGATGAGAAGATGTGTGAGAGGATGTGAAGATGTGAAGATGTGAAGATGTGAAGATGAGCAGCTGTGAAGATGTGAGGATGTGAAGATGAGAGGATGTGAAGATGAGAGGATGCGAAGATGTGAAGATGTGAAGATGAGAAGATGTGAGGATGTGAAGATGGGAAGATGTGAGGATGAGAAGATGATTGCGAAGAGGAGAAGATGTTTTACAGACCCCCACTATTGGAAGAACCCTGCGCTCAGACGCTCTCGGGAAAAAGAAACGTTGTGGAGGTAAACCCCTCGATTCATCACCACCAAGCCAACTTCCAGAAACACAGCACTAGGAAATTCCTGACCTGGATTTGCTTGGGAAAATCATCGTGTAGATTCAGTGTAGATCTTCAAACCAGATTATACAGATGATTTCATCAGAGGGTATCATTTCCTTCCATCAACAATATGGGTTTGTCTGAAGATTGGGCTAGCCCCAAATCTGTTTCATTCAAGTGCCCTTGCAAATTGCCAGAAAATTCTCCCAAGGAGTCCAACCCCAAACGCCAGGCCCACGCAGAGGCGCTGGCACGCTGGCCCAATGTCGTTTTAGAATGAGATCACAAGGCGCCGCGCTGAAGCGACAGTGGTCTGATACCTCGGGCCACACTAAAAAAAATAGCTCTTCTTTGATGACAGGCGATTCCAAGTGTAATCTTTAAACTCCCACTGTTGAATGGTTAATACCCGAGCTTTCAATGGTTCAAATCCAGTCTTTGTCACCGCCGGGTACCTGAGCTCAAGCAAGTGGCTAATTGAGCCAGAATTACGGCAAAGCAGTAGAACAGCAGCACCAAAAGCACCTAGCACGCGGCATACCAAGCCATCAGATCAAAGCAGCCCTACGAGGCTGTGACCAATCTCTGGATATGCAATGAAATCCGTTGATATTTATGATGATCATCTCCTGGTCGCCGTTTTGCAAAACATAAAAAATGAAAATCGTGGTCTAACATGCTTCGGTGGGTGTTTCCAAGTGTGTGTGTGTGTATGTGTGTGTGTGCTACGAGTATGTGTCTGGGGGTCGAGGGCCAGCAAGCATTCTCTCTTTACTGGATCGATTCCAATTTGTTGCGCCACCTTGTCTGTGGAACAAAATTCTCAGTGCATTCAGTGCTGTGTGGTCGGTGGGACTTCATTGGGGGCACAGCGTATTGTATGCACCAACACTTTCTTACACGTTGCAAGGATTGAAATCCCTTGTCGTGTTCGTATAATATGTTGCCTAGGCCCGTTTCAACACAATCTTCAGCGGGAGGCTTGGTTGGATTCTAAAGAAACACAACGTCCAAGACGTTAGTTTTTTGAACATGTTGGGAAAACAAGGGAAACCATAGAAGATATAGAAGCAGGTGACGCTTTCATGACTTGCGCGACTTGGAGCCGAAGGCACAAGAGTCCAAACTAATGACCAAAGCGTACCTGATTCAACGCCCAGTCTCGGGGATCATGACGTGCATTGGTGGCTCAGGGACCAACAATGTCTTGGAAAAAAGACCATCTGACCCAATCTGGATGTGAACATAAGTAACAAACAAACAAACAAACACACACAGCATAGCAGTGGCGTGGACGCGTCTCAACATTGGGTATACCCCAGCATTTTCATTTTAAGATGTAAAACATTGAAAAACTATGATAGTCAACCGGATTTTGATGTTGACCCACAAGATTTCAAGCAAACCTAATTGTGGACCAAGAGACTGAGGATAGCAAAAACAATTGATCGCAGGGCGCCGATAAAGCGCACGAGTCTCATGACACGAACGCCACGCAAAGCACGAGCTAAACGCATGAATCGCATGATGCGAAGGTGGCTGGAGTCCACGGTGCTCGCTTCGATCGTCTTGGTCAAGATATCCTGGCAACGAAATGGGAAATTTGGATAAATTTGGTATATGGCGCCTTGCAACGTCAATGGGAAGAATGATGATCTCTTGGAAGTGGAGGCGCTCCATTATCAAACAAACCCACGTGTCTTCACACACACCACAGGAGATGAGAAAACATAAGAGGGTCGGTGCTCAACTGTGTCTGGAACAATTACCAGAAGCATTGCAGGTGCACTTAGGGGCGGTCCAGAAAGGTCTCGAAGACGGAGGTGATGATGATAATCAGATCAAAGCAATTCCACCACCTCTCAGGACCAAAGAAAAAGTGGGCGCAGCCGAATCCGGCCATCTTGACCGCAATTTCCTCGAATGGCGGCAAACAGTTTTTGGGAATCGCGCAAACTGCTACTTTTTCCTAAGAATAAAAGATGCGACAGATTGCGACGGCCAACGCCGGATTCGGAAACTTCAGCGTCGGATTCGGAAACTCCCAGGCCCTCGGATTCGGAAACTCCCTCCCCCCCGGATTCGGAAACTTTAGCGTCGGATTCGGAAACTTCCAGGCCCTCGGATTCGGAAACTTCGAAGCCCACGGATTCGGAAACTCCCTGGCTCTCGGATTCGGAAACTTCCTGCCCCCCGGATTCGGAAACTTCGAAGCCCACGGATTCGGAAACTTCCAGGCCCTCGGATTCGGAAACTTGCTGCCCCCCGGATGCGGAAACTTCCTGGCCCTCGGATTCGGAAACTCCGAGCCCCCCGGATTCGGAAACTTCGAAGCTCACGGATTCGGAAACTTCCAGGCCTCGGATTCGGAAACTTGCTGCCCCCCGGATTCGGAAACTTTGAAGCCCACGGATTCCGAAACTTCCACCCAACAGTGAGAAATGACTTGCAAAGGTGACAAGAACTCGATGAAAGGGAAGGATGTGCATTGAGGAATACCATTGTATGCAGAGCTTGGGGGGGGGGAAGTGTAGAAAATGACTTGCAATGGTGACAAGAACTCTATGCAAGGGAAGGATGCGCATTCAGAAATACCATTGCATGCAGAGCTTTAGGGTGGGAAGTTTAGAAAATGACTTGCAATGGTGACAAGAACTCTATGCAAGGGAAGGATGCGCATTCAGAAATACCATTGCATACAGAGCTTTTCGGGGGGGAAGTTTAGAAAATGACTTGCAATCTTGACAAGAACTCTATGAAAGGGAAGGATGTGCATTGAGGAATACCATTGTATGCAGAGCTTTGGGGGGGGGGAAGTTTATAAAAATGACTTGCAACCGTGAGAAGAACTCTATGCAAGGGAAGGATGTGCATTGAGGACTACCATTGCATGCAGAGCTTTGGGGGGGGGAAGTTTAGAAAATGACTTGCAATCGTGACAAGAACTCTGTGAAAGGGAAGGATGTGCATTGAGGACTACCATTGCATGCAGAGCTTTGGGGGGGGGAAGTTTAGAAAATGACTTGCAATCGTGACAAGAACTCTGTGAAAGGGAAGGATGTGCATTGAGGACTACCATTGCATGCAGAGCTTTGGGGGGGGAAGTTTAGAAAATGACTTGTAATGTGACAAGAACTCTGTGAAAGGGAAGGTTGCATTGATGACTACTATTGCATGTAGGGCTTTGGGGGGGAAGTTTAGAAAATGACTTGCAATGGTGACAAGAACTCTATGCAAGGGAAGGATGTGCATTGAGGAATACCATTGCATGCACAGCTTTGGGGGGGGAAGTTTAGAAAATGACTTGCAATCGTGACAAGAACTCTGTGAAAGGGAAGGTATGCATTGAGGACTACCATTGCATGCAGAGCTTTGGGGGGGGAAGTTTAGAAAATGACTTGCAATGGTGACAAGAACTCTATGCAAGGGAAGGATGTGCATTGAGGACTACCATTGCATGCAGAGCTTTGGGGGGGGGAAGTTTAGAAAATGACTTGCAATCGTGACAAGAACTCTGTGAAAGGGAAGGATGTGCATTGAGGAATACCATTGCATGCAGAGCTTTGGGGGGGGGGAAGTTAGAAAATGACTTGTCAATCTTGACAAGACTCTTTTGAAAGGAAGGCAATGTGTCATTGAGGAATATCAACCAATTGCAAATGGTCACGCTTTGGGGGGGAAGTTTAGAACATGGACTTGCAATCGTGGACAGAACTCTGTGAAAGGGAAGGTATGCTTGATTACTAACTTATTGCATGTCGTAAAGGGCTTTTTTTTCGGGGGGGAAGTTTAGAAAATGACTTGCAATCTTGACAAGAACTCTATGAAAGGGAAGGATGTGCATTGAGGAATACCATTGTATGCAGAGCTTTGGGGGGGGGGAAGTTTATAAAAATGACTTGCAACCGTGAGAAGAACTCTATGCAAGGGAAGGATGTGCATTGAGGACTACCATTGCATGCAGAGCTTTGGGGGGGGGAAGTTTAGAAAATGACTTGCAATCGTGACAAGAACTCTGTGAAAGGGAAGGATGTGCATTGAGGACTACCATTGCATGCAGAGCTTTGGGGGGGGGAAGTTTAGAAAATGACTTGCAATCGTGACAAGAACTCTGTGAAAGGGAAGGATGTGCATTGAGGAATACCATTGCATGCAGAGCTTTTGGGGGG